ATTCGACTAAAATTCGTAGTTCCTGTGTCCTGCCAACAGATAGCAGCACTACAAAGACTCCTGGTTGACTCGAAAAGTGAGCTCCTTCGACCTCCCGCTATCCTGATACAAATCGACAATTTTCTCGCTAGAAATTCAAGTAAAATTCGTAGTTCCTATGTTCTGCCAACAGATAGCAGCACTATCGGTATCAGGACGCCTCGAAAGGCGCCGGGGACCAGTTTTTTTTGTTTTTCTTGTTTCTTCAAGCTCGAAATTGATTAGAATATTTAAAAATACGTTAGAAAAATTTAAAATAAATCCCTCTTGTTCTTATTTCACCCTAAATCTTCAAATTTTCACTATTTAATACATTTTATAGCATAGAACTTATTTTTCATGCTGTGAATAGATGGAAATATTTTAGAATTGATCGGAAAAATTCAAAATGCTTTCTCTTTTTCCTTATTTTTTCCAAATGTGAGAAAAATAATGACAAATTTTCTTAATATGTATTATTTTAAGCATTTCTTAAATTAATAATACTTTTCTTTCCCTATAATATCATCTATTTCATATATTATACAGTTATGTTGGTTCTTGTTTATTCATGCAGAAAATTGATTAAAATATTTTAGAATTGTTCGGAAAAATTCAAAATGCTTTCTCTTTTTCTTATTTCGTCCTAATATAAGAAAAATAATGGCAAATCTTCTTAATATGTGTAATTTTAACCATTTATTAAATTAATAATACTATTCTTTCCTTATTATATCATCTTTTTCTTATATTATACATTTATGTTTGTTGTTGATTATTCATGCAGAGAATTGATCGAAATATTTTAGAATTGTTCAGAAAATTCAAAATGCTTTCTCTTTTTCTCAATTTGTCTTAATATAATAAAAATAATGACAAATCAGACATATTTCATAATGTTTTCTTCATTAGAAATCACAGAATTTAGTTAAATTATTTATCGCTATTTTCTCAAAAGTGTACATAGTGAGTGAAATGAAGTTTTGAATGAATCTAGAGTTACTAATAGTGAAATGCGTTATAAATAAAGATATCTAATATTTTTTTTGTATTTTTAAATGTATGTTAAACCATAATATAATAGACAAAAACAAAGAAATATACAAATCGGTAGGTTGTTATGATACTAAAATTTGATGAATTCACTCTTTTTACAGAACATTGATGATATATTTTCTTTTAATAAATATAGCATACTTAGTCAGTATGCTTAATTTATATTTTTAAATTAATTAATAAGGATTGTATCCTTGTTAGCTAAGTAAATTACAGTGTCAAATTAAAAAGGATAAGGAATAGAGGGATTTGGCTAAGAAAATTTTTCAGGATTTAAAGAAGAAAAATAGAATAATTATTTTATTATATATTTATTAATTTAATAATATATTTCTTTTAAATAAAATACATAGAATCTTGCAATGACTGTACAGAAGCACTCAAGTGTGAGTATAAGAGCAAAAACATATAGAAAATGGTCACAATATTTGGTACAATAGAAGAATAAAAAAATCTACTCAGAATTAATAAATTTGCCATTCTACTGAAATATCTTCATTACAAATATAATTCTTATTAATCTTATATTATAATAAAATAATTTCAATTATTCATGAAACCATTAAATAACCTTGAAAAATCTAATGGAATATAAATAATTCACACAAAATACATTTTTCAATAAAAGTATTAAGAGTAGAAGTAAATATAAGATTTTTTAATTTTAAATTTTGGAGTAGATAAGCCTTTTTTTTCAACTCTTGTATCAAACTCCTTTAAATATTTTCATTAAATAGGATTGTTTTACTTATTCTCTTATTACTTTTTGTTAAGTGTACATACTTATCATCTTAACATATTGATTCAAATTGATGTTATATTTATCAAAATATTCTTTATTTATTTTATAATAATTACATGTATTAAATAACAGGAATAATTACAATACCAATAATTAAATTATTACAATAATGATCTAATGATTACAGGAATAATTACAATAATGAATCGAAAAATTAAGAAGGAAAGTGCTTCTCTCGCCTTCACATTGACGCTGATGATGACCCACATACATGTCTGTGTTGAAACGTAGGCGAAATCAATAAACACTTTTTTTGAATGCACATCCTGACCATTTTTCATCCTTACAATTTCAACAATCAACTATATATCCATCTGTGAAATACAAAAAAATAAATAACATCAATAGTTTCTATAATGATTACAAGAATTAAATGATAAGAATAATTACAATTATGATTACAAGAATTAAATGTAAAGAAACATTATAACTATATGATATGAACAATTTTAATGGCCCTCATTATATAAATTATTCTTTTGATTCTGTCTTCATAGTTCTTTAGCCCCGTATTGGATAAGCCATTGGAAAGTATATAGTCTCATTCTGGTGTCGGAGGTGTGTTGCTTGTTTCTCAGAGTGGTGGTTCCAGGCCTCTGATTAGGTACACATAGGCGAAGACTGCACGTCCCCAATTTGGAGTCTTGAAAATATTAATTTTTCTGATGTGGATTCAACTGAAGAAAATTTCCATGGCAGAATATCATGTTTCATTTGTGATCTGTTACTCAATGGCCCCATTCGCATTTATGCCATTTTTTTCCTAATAAACATCTTCAATCTGCAGAGTAGTTTATCATTTCTATGTATTCTAATCAAGAAGATGGTTGAAATCAGCTAAATACCTACAAAAAAAAAAATATATGAGTTATTGTTTCATTTCAATTAATTTGTTATATTAGATAAGTATTTAAAAAATATAAATTCTTTGTAAATAAATACATACATATAAATACTTTGTTATTGTATACAAATGGCTTTTTTAAAATGTATTTGAATAAAACAGCATTGAGAGCAGAACAATTTCAGTTAGGCTTATTTTACATTAGGTTAAAAAACATTTTAATTTAAATATTATTGTAAATAATAAATATAATTATAACTGAAGATTGTCAATTCATCTATTATTATTTATTTGAGGAGTTGGTCGGGGGTGCGGCCAAATACTATATATTATAATAGTATTTTACTGGTTACGCTTATATAATAGTATTTAATTTGACCGCACCCCCATCAAACTCCTTATCAAATTATAATCACGATCAACCTTTTCCACTATCTTATTATTTATGATTTAAGTTATATGTATACAGTTTTCAACATAACCTTTATATAACAAAAAGAGAGTGCAAATATCAGTGCATTTGGAACTTAAACACTTAGGAGGGTGATACCTGGAACTCTTTGAATGAGTAAATGAGATTACTATATACAAATAAACTAAAATGAGAGAAAAGGCATGAGGAAGAGAAAAACCCAGAAGCTAATCTTCGGTCATGTTAGTGGTTAATTAAGGAGATCTCTCATCCAACTCCTTTTCTGCCTTCTGTGGATGTTATCGGCCATGTTTTTATTGGGCTATGTCTTGGATGAATCTATTGGGGTGACCATAAAGCTTGTTATGAAACCTTTTGTAATAAGTTGGTACATGTTCAGTGACGGTTTACATACGTAAGTCTTTGTGGAGCTTGGTGTAATTGTCCAGAAGGTTTTGCCCTGAAATATTTGCAGTTTCTGAATGTGTGTTTTTTTAGCAATTCCATATATTTGTGATGCGTGTGTCCAAATTGGTTTTAGTAAGTGTAAGTGTTAAGTTTTTGTCTTAGGTCTAATTTGGAGCGACGTCCCAGTAGGAATATAATATTCAAAATTGCTGAGTTAGTGTCTTTCGCTTAGTGGTGATCTGTGGGCCCCATGTCATCCTTCTGTCAAATGTTTGACCTAGGTAATGTACTTTGTCAGATTGGGGAATATGTTCATTGTCAAAACTTAAATTGATATATTAAATCTATTTAAATTGATATAAATTAAAAATAAATTAAATAAAGAATATCACTTATTATTATAAATAAAGAAGTAAATGAGGAAATGAGAAAAATTATGAATGAAGTATTTACTTCATGCTTTAAAATTATATAAAAAGAACTAATAAGGAACATTAATATTTTAAAATCGATTACAGAGGATTAAAACTGAGAAAGCAAGAAGTATAATGTGAATAAAAACATTATCCTTTATTCATTTTTTGTTGGTTGGTGCTGCAACTGGTCGGAAATAGTCAAAAGGTTGTTTGAGAATTAATATAGGTTTGTCTGGGGAGTGTATTTTTTTCGGTTTGAAAAAAAAAATCCTCCCATAAAATTGAGTCCAAAAATTTATATTTTTTTATTAAAAAACAAACTCGTATTAAAGAGTTTAAGTGGACGCTACAAAAAAATCTGAATAGTTTTTCATGACAAAAATTTACTTGCCTTAATTTACTTGAAGCGTCTTTGGGTGTTTGTGATTTATTATATATTAGAATATGTTTAATAGAATCAGCAATATGTTTTTCTTATTTTCACAAAGAAACAAATTGATCGATATATAATAACTTAGAAATTCATGCAAAGCCTAGTCAGAATACATAATATGAAAAAATAATAAACTTTAAAAAAAAATGTTTGTTCCCTGGTGCATTAGCAAGAACCCTTGGACATGGGCAAAGGTAGAAGGAGGGACTGAGCCTAATTTAAATGACTGCCTGAAAATTTTAGCACGTAGTTAGGATGAAAGCCACCAGAGATCGGTAATAAAACAGACAGCTACAGTAGCTTAATAATATTTTTTTTAAGCCTAGTCAATCTCCAGACACGCTATACTAGGGCCCAAAATCAGTTTAAAATGCAATTTATCAAAAATACATCCAAGTATATGTATTTTCATAACTATGATGAGGTGTGTAAAATTATAATAATGATTTCAATGTAATCTTTTATAATAATAGGAAGATTATTTTATTACTGTTAAGTGGTATTACTTCTTAGCCATGTTTATAAAAGAAAAAGATTTAAATTTAATTATATTTTTATAGGAATATGCTTTTTTTTTGTAATATTTTTAATATAAAAATAAACTAAAAATACCACTAATTAATAGCTAACCACAGAACATATGAATACATTTTTTATCATAAGAAAACACTTATTGAAAAAATAAAAAAACTCAATGGTATTTAGTTTTATATTTAATAATAATTGCTTCATCACAATACAATAGCCACTTAGCTAATACATTTATTTTCATGAATTAAAACTTGCAAAGAACAATAATATAGTTTAAATAATGCATTTCATATTGATTTACTCCTGATCTCAAAACAATTAAAATGAAGTTTCAAAATGTTAATAATGAAATAGCTTCTTGTATCACTATTTTCTTTTCTCATGATGAATCATCATCAGAAAAATAGGTTAGCTTTGTATGGTTTTTTTGTTTCGGTATAAAAAATAACTCTGAAATAAGACTATCTTCATCTGAGCTAAATCTTTCATCTTGGTCCTGCTTCCTGAAACATAATTCATCCCTTAAAAGATCTGGAAACAATGTCAGATTGTTTCTTGTGAAATTCCTTAAGATAGCATCGTTAAAATATGAATAGGAAAATAAATTGAAATATACTTGTCTTCTATAAAGGTTGTCAAAGAGAATATTCTGTAGGTGCCTAAAGGGAAAGGTAAATATGAAAAAGATGATGAAACTGTGGGCCCAGAGATAATATTAAGGAATTCCAACGTATCAGGATGGCCTTCAAGTCTAAACTTCAAAAGTCCAAACAAGCCAGAAAGGGGCGTTCTAAGAAAAATGTTCTCAGAAATGGCTAGCCTCTTAACTACAGTGCAATGTCTATAAGTATTAAAGGTCCAGAAAGATGAGATTAAATCATTTATTTCATAAGTTAGAGCAACAACAAACATGATTTAATCTATGGTAACGGTCAACACTCTTCTTATGACTGAACAGAAAGAAGAAAGCCTCCAGAATCCTATACTGATAATGTTCATTTTATATAATTAAGTTTTCTTTTTTCTGGGAAGTTGTATGATATTCTTTGTTATTCGGCAATGATTACTTTCACTTAACAACAATTGAATTTGTTTGTTGTATTATCAAATTTCATGTTTACAAGTTAACGTTTCGGGATATTTACTCCCATCTTCAGAACCACAAACCCAATGATCTTGTGGATACATGGCTTACATCTAATGTGCTCCATCGTCAGGTTCTAATTCAAGTTATAATAAATCAAGGTATATAACATCCAAAACAACATCTTGCTTTTAGACTAATTGTTGGGTGTCTGCCATAGTGAATACAATTGTATCATATTACATCATACATTATATTACATATTGCATTATATTTGTACGTTATATACAATTGTATTCACTATGGCAGACACCCAATAATTAGTCTAAAAGCAAGATGTTGATCTGGATGTTATATACCTTGATTTATTATAACTTGAATTAGAACCTGACGATGGAGCACATTAGATTTAAGCCATGCATCCACAAGATCATTGGGTTTGTGGTTCTGAAGATGGGAGTAAATATCCCGAAACATTAACTTGTAAACATGAAATTTGATAATACAACAAATAAATTCAATTGTTGTTAATTGGAAGTAATCATTGCCAAATAACAAAAAAAAAGTAATTAAGTTTATCAGTTTCATCCACTCCACTCCTGGAAGTACAGGTAAGGCCCAGAGTTTTCCCTTCCATCATGTCAGGACTCGATGACGGTCCCCACCTGGGTGGTTCCCTGGTGGTGTGAGCACAATTTATTTTTATAGGTTAGTACCTTTCAGCCTCTACCCTGAGGTTGGCTGTTCGAAGTTACCTCTGCGGTCAAATCATACACTTATGCTGTAGCTGGGAACCGATCTACCAGAAAACTCAGCAACTAATCGAATACCAGTTTTCATAGAGCAGAACTAAGCTACTTAGAAATTAGAAAGATATGAAAAAGGAGATGAGAAGGAAGATAATATTAAAATTTCTTAAAAAACACGGAATAGATGTCCGATTAATGTTGGAAGAAAGAGATATAAATGGCATTCCTTGATTTGCTCCTAAAGTAATGGATACTTATAGAGCTACAGTAGGATCGTGCTAAAGATGAAGATTAAAATGTTTGACGGAGATGGTTGATCCAAGCTTAATGGAAAAGAAAAAAAATAATCAATTATTTTTATGTATAAAAATATATCTTTCTCTTCAAACATCAATTTGTTATAGTTATCCAGGCAGTGTTTGTAAATTTTATAACTAGAGACCGGATTTTCATGTTATTGCACATTTTGTTAACTTAGGTGTAAGAACTTCAAACCGAACAATCTATCCGTTTCACAAACTGTAGAATAGCATATTAAAATTTTTTTTTTTGCAAGTTATGTAAACAATTTTACACTTTTTGGGTTTTCACGGCACAATTTTGTACATTTTGAGTTTTATATTGAACGTTTTTCAGTTTTTTACTCCATGAAAATCCGGTCTCTAATTATAACACAGGTTAGCAGTAATTGTAGGAAGTGGGAATTATCATAAGGCAAATATAAGGATGTAGAATTTATATTAAGAATAGCTTTATATTACTTACCAACAATATTTGTTATGACATTTACGTTCCTTTCTTGAAAATTTTAATCTTGATCGACTTTGATGAACAATATCCAAGTTGGTTTGGGAACTTCTATTTTCCATTTTTTTACCATAAGCTGCATCTTTTTGTTTTGATTCCTATAAAAATTATTATTAATAATCTTATCTTTATTCAATTTCCAAACATACAATCTTCAAGAAATACAGAATATATTTTTTAGTCTTTCTGTATAACCAATGTTAACAAGATTAATTAAGGGACTTTTTTTAAAAAATACATATTTGCTTACTTGGAAGGAAAAATGGCTACTGTAGCTATTGAATTCATACCTAATTCTGTTATAAACTATGATTATTTTATTGCAGAGTTAAATATTTCATATATAGGTATAAAATGGCTTCAAATTTTCTATAATTAGTCAAAGAAGAATAACTCCATACCAGAGAAAATTAAAAATTCAAAGCAAAAATTATTATTTCTTAAAGTATTAATTTTGTATTTATTTTAAGTACATTATAAATTTGTATTAAAATTTGGAAATAAAAATCCGAGAAATTAGTTTTTTACTTGTAATGTTACCTCATTACATACTCACAAGTTGAGTTATTGCTTCTAAGGCAACTTTCAATTTTTCTTTTGAATTGTCGTATTTTTTATAAAATTTCTTGTTTTCATTGCTAACATAATATACAACATTGGCCAACTTTTCAGTCTGTTTTTGAGCCTCTTCCAATTTTATTTGTAATTCAGATTTTTCATGTTCAAGAACTTTGATCTTGTTATGAAGCTCAAAATTCTAAAATAGAACAATAAATAAATGAATGAATAAAAATAAAATAAATAAATTGCAAGTCATTTTGGGCTATTAGAAATCTACAATCTCTACTGAAATCACACTCCATTTTGAAATTAATTCTTAATACAGAAATCTGGTGTGCGCATCACACAACTTTCGCTTACTGCTCTGCTCTGAACAGGAATTATTGTCTGACAAAATTAAGCAATTACAAAAAGTTTTTGATGTGTATTTTTAATTGAGCTAAACATTAATGAACACATTTGTGAATTTCAATGCAAAAACTCATTAAAACCACCAAAATTATATAAACCCTATTTGTTATATCCATAGTTGGCAATAAAAACCTCATAACTCCATCAGTCAATTTGAACCACATAATTGCAATCTCGGAGCTCTATATATAAAGAAAGATTTGGAAGTGCATGAATTTAATCTATAAATAATTCTTGTACGACATAGTAAAAATTAATTAACTATAAACTAAATATCAACAATTTTTTACAAGTATTTAAACTATTATTTTTTTTTTGTTGTAAGCAGAGAGGGCAAATGCTATTCTGAGTACCGTGTTCAAAGTATTTTACTCAAATTGAATCACCATTGGGAATTCAATCACTACTTCAGTTAATCGATTAACTGAAGTAATAATTTAATTTAAGGTACTCAAAAAAAGGCCAGTATTTGAGTAAAGTAGTAAGTTGACCATAATCTTGACAAATTTTTCCTTATTTTGTTAAAGACATTGTTGGGAACTGGATCGCACCTATAACTTGCTCCTAAATTAATGGCCATTCCTACTCTACTCTATTCCTGATCTCCTGTTCTTCCTCAATACAGCTATCATATCAATTAGTAATGAGCAAAAAGTAAGATGTAACTATTAATGATACAGTGATAAATAAAGACCTGATTTTTAAGGCTTGATTCTTTTACGACATGGGATTTAGTTATAAGCCTTAAATTTTCTTCACCATACTTAACACTGATACGTAAAGCAGATAAGTCTTTTTCTAACTGCCCAATATGAGATTTCAATTCTGAATTTTCATCAAGCAATTTCTTCACTTGCTGAGATTTTTCTTTTTGATCTTCTCGACATCTGAAAAATGGTCTAATTGAAAAAATATATACTATAACGAATATTGGCAAAGGCACATAACAATTTAATTTTTTTTTTACAGTATCTTGGACCAATGCTATCTTAGTAAATGATGTGAGGAATGTTAAATAAAATAAATATGTCATACGCCTCTTCCAAAAGTTGTAGGAAACTAAGTGTTGTCTGTAAAAGATGTCCTATATTGAATTATTTAATTAATTTTGGATGAAAATTGATTAACGTTGACTATATTTATATTTTTTCAAATAATAAAACTTTAAAAAGATAGATCATCTTCATATATAATAAAGAATGGAACAGTTTAACACAGGAATATTTTGAACATATATAAGATGAAAATAATGTTCATGCTTTAGAATATATTTTAATTACTTAAACCATTGCTAAAGAGTACAACAAAACAGCTATAAACATTTAAAATGTTTAAAGTACACCACATATCTTGAAATATTCATTCCTACTTTACATACTCTTATGATTTCTTTATTAATTTTATAATCTACTTACGTTTATATTAAATTATAAATAACTAAGTAACTAAATAACTAAATAACTTAAATATACTACAATTCCATTACCTGGAAATTTCGGTGACAAGTTGTGCAATCCTTTGCCTGTCTTCTTTACAAAGATCACTTATCTGTGCCGGTTTCGAACCCGCTGCTACTTCAGCCTTAGAGTTTATATCACAGAAACCTATTGTTGGAAAGGAAAAGTGAGAGAATTCGTCATCGCTTATTGGACCAGCCCTTATTTCATCTCCTAATTCGTAAAAAATATTACGCCTTGATAAAAAATCCTTCTTATTTTCTGATCCAGTCTCAGGGTGACCTTCTTTCTGCGCAACATAGTCTGCAAAAATTTTAGAAATAACAAAAATAAGAAGTGTTTAAAAATCTTTTTTTGTCAATTTCCCTCAACATGAACGTCAAAGAATAATTATTATACATTTCATTGTTTTAAAAGATCATAATAAATAAACGGTATACAGTGGGAGAAAAAAAAAATCGAAAGTTTTGAAACTGCAAGCAAAATTAAAATTTTTTTAATACATAAGAGTTTTGGAATACACTTTCATTAAATGGAGAGATAGAAGTTTATTTTACTTTGTATTAAAATGAAACATTTATCAGTTACGTACTAATAATTTTTAAGTACGATCCTGCATCTCATATTCTACAAAAAAAAAAAATCTACTGTACTATCGATATATAGATAATATAAAAATATCGATGGCCAGTGACTATCGATAGTTAATATCCTCCCCTTTGACACAAATTATTTTAAATTTTATATACTTAAAGGAATAATTTTAATAATACGGTTTCATATTTCAACCCATCATTGATGTACGAGACATAGTGATAATATAATAATGTAAAAGTTAAATGTTTGATAATAGAAAATTGTTATTGCATAATGTGTGAAAGGATTGATCGATGATTAAAAATCAACACTTATCAGTATTATTTAAATGCCCAATATACAATAATTTAAGATTAAGAATTGACCAGGGTTTGGGTAATCTTAATAGAATGAAAATATTATTATATATTATTCTGGAGTTGTAGGTGGAGAATATTGTTACAAAATATAATATCCATATAAATATTATATTTACTCATCAGACGGAATTTTTCATACAAAGTAGTAATTTAGTGTAATTTTGGTTGACCGAAATCTAAAATAACATCTGTAAGTGTATGCTGGATATACATATTTTGGGGGTAAATTTAAAATCTTTTTATATATTTCAAAATAGGAACCGATGCACTAATTGGATACTATATATTGTATATACTGTATTAGATTGCATGGTATAATTTTATTTTTGGTGCCATTTTATGGAAACATTAAGAAAATGAATGTATGGTCCAATCCGTGCCGGTCTTAGACATCTGGTACCCTCTGACAATGTCGTCACTCTCCCCCCCCCCCTCAAAAAAAATAAATTTATTTCTTAAGCTATTTTAAATTATGTAATATTTGAATTTTATTTCATTCAATATTTCTCTATTACAGCTGCTTTATTGATATGCTAAAATTAGATATTTTAATACGTTTTGTATTTTTTATTAATTTTTAACAATTGGCAATTGCCTTGCCCCCACACCAGATGTCGAGACCTGTCGTACGAAGCAACATTTTTATTTTGGAGATAGGAGTGAATTTTTGTGCAATATAATAAGAATATAATTCGTCATTACTAATGATATAGAACAAAAAACAAATTTTTTTGGGGGGAGAGGTGGCGTGTGGAGGACGGTTCGCTCATATAACAATTGCACAGAGATGACAAATGTTTAATGATGGCAGTGGATATGGATATAATAAAAATAGTATTTTTTTTTTATTCCTTAAAATATCGTGCTTTGAAGTTGTTAGTTTAAGAACTAAGTGATTTAAGGTTATGAAATGGCTATTAATGACTTCTTGCAAAAAAAACCTACGATATGATTTACGATTATATGAATGCAAAAAAAAATCTAAGGAATAAGCTCAAATAGAAACAAATAATATTAATACAAGAATTTTCCCTATAATTTAGAATTAATATTTCGAGGTACATATAATAAAAATTGATTTTTAAGATCAATATTTGAAATATATAGAAAGATTCAAAACCAATACTTCTGCACAGTGTTCAAAACCAGATATAAGTAGGTTATATTTTGTCTCAAGTAAACTAGTTTTCTATTGAAGTGTTCAATGTTTTTGACCACATTTTAATAAAATTATTTGTTTTAATTTCAACTAACCTACTGTATATTTAATAAACAATCGTGTATTAAAATAATCATCATACATTTGATATGCATGAAAGTACCTTGCCAGTCTTGGCGATAATCTTGTAACTGCTTCTTTTCTCCTTTTCCATCCTTCAAGAAATTTCCATACATGATTTCCTTTAGCCATGATATACCATGTCACTGTTGTATGTGCCCTACAGTTGTTTTTAGAAATATTTGACTTATTTTTAGTATTATCACTAATAGGCCTAAATAAAAGGAGTATCATCTCATAACACTCTGAAACAGATGTTCGCGTACTGCGATGTACATATATAATTTCAGAGTGTGTAGCTTATAACATTTTTATTTTATTTTGTGAATTATAAAACATGATAGTTAAGATATTTAACTTAAAACTTAAATCTCAAAAGAGTTTTAATTAGTCCATTCACAAAGAACTACCCAATCACAAAAAAAAAGAAGTTAAGTTTGAAATTATAGCTATTTTGCCACTGAAATAGACAGTTTTTTCATTTAATACGAATTAAGTCCAAAAATTATGTTTTTATAGAATATTTACAAAAAAAAAAATAATAAAAATAAAAAGAATTGGGAAAGCTGTTTACATAAAAACTGTCTTTATCTTAAACAATACGTAGAGTGATAGTAAGTTATTAATACTGTAGTTTCTCATCATTATTTATGTGGATCAGAAAAAAAATCTATAATTGCTGATAAGCTGTTAACGATTAATTAAATTAAAACATATGGTCAAGTATGCACAAAAATAAAATTTCAGAATATCACTACTTTACACAGGCGGATCTACTGAGAAGAGGAACTTTCGGGCTGAAGCTTCCCCCCTCCACTCAAAATGGTGAAAAATTACCATGTCTTATGAAAAAAATATAAAAGAATCATCTCTAAAAGTATTATTGTTCGTGTAATTACATTTAATAGGACTCCAAGAAACATTTAGACACCATTTCGTACAGGTATTTAGTTTCTTTTTTTTTCTTCCAAAGTAATTTTCGTTATATTTTAGAAAAAAGGGAGACTTCATTCCGAAAGCCCCTCCCTCCTCCCGTCCCGTAGATCCGCCTATGCCTACTGTCAATTCAACCTCTCAAATATGCTCCCCATTATGAAAATACTAATGGAGAAAAAAAAAAATGCTGTTTAATTCGATCAGTATAATATTTTCTAGGAGTTTCAAAAATGTTCCGAGAAGTCACTGCCATCAATTGATGCGACTTAAGGTGTACAAGGTTACAGGCGAATCTACCTGGGGGTTTTTAAGGCTGAAGCCCCTCTCCTCCCAAAATGGTAAAATGTAACCATGTTTTATGAATAAAAATGATCTCTTAAAAGTATTATTGTTCGTGTAATTACATTTAATAGAGCTTCAATAATCACTTGAACACCATGTCGTATAGGTAGTTAGTATCTTACTTTTTCCCCAAAATAATTATAGTTAATATATGAAAAAAAAAACCTTTCGCTCTGAAGCCCTCCTCCCTCCCCAAAATTAAATCCTGGATCCGCTAGTGTACAAGTGATTACCTGAATTTTTTTTTCAGACTCTGGAAAAACGCGCTGTATCCGAAAAGGCGAGGAAGGAATTAAAAAAAATTGCCTGCCATGGCATAAATCGATGACTTGGTCGCAATGTTGGCGTCCAACAGCGGCTTGACTTCAGAAACAAAATGGTGGGAGAATAAAAGAACGAGAATGACTTCTCCCCAAACCAATACATGCATTATTATTGTTTTTGAACCGAATAGGGGTAACAGGCTTTTTGCATATAATCGTACTCAAGAAACGTACGTACCCAAGGGCGTTGCAATCGAAAATGGCGACTAGGGCACGCATCAAATTTGGGACTCTTTGTAAATTATGTTAATATAAAAACAGATACACGAAATAAAATAGTCATAAACCTTACAGGACATATTTATTTTATGATATAAGTAAGACCATAAAACCGTTACACTTAATTTTATACCTTCCTGGTCTTCAGGGGTGCTAACATATCAATCATGTTTTTTAAATCAGTTTTATTCCTTTGTTCTGCTCTGTAATCAACCAAGATCGTATTACCTTCCGTGATCCTTTGTAACCCTCAAATACAATTATTAATTTTATTTTACTGAATGATTTATACTTGCAATCTCAGGTAGATCTATGGCTGGAGGAGAGGAGGGCTTTGGGCTAAAATCCCCCCAAAAGGGTTAATTTAATCCAAAGATGGACAAGATTAGTTTGCAGGCGTTGCTGATCTGGATGTTTTACTTCTTGAAACCCCAACAAACTACAACGCCCCCAAATGGAAAATTATAACCATTTCTTATGAACAAAATATTAAAAACTTATCTCTAAAGTATTATTATTCCTGAAATTACATTTTAATATGATTTCCAGAATCACTTAAAACACCATTTTATACAGCGAGTTAGTTTATTTATTTTTCTTCCAAAGTAATTATCGTTATATACATGAAAAAATAAAGCTTTCTGGTTGAAGACCTCTCCCCCCCCCCAAAAAAAAAATTAAATCTTGGGTCCACTACTTACCGCAATTGTTCATTGAGGTTTTGTATTGTATGGCATGTATAAAGATAATTTTCCCGGGAGTTTTACCAGTACTACCTTGTCCAGATTCCCTCTTGCTCGTTCACCAGATACTTTTTTTTGTTCTCCCCTTCCTTAGGCTACAAGGAGTTTTTCCCAGTCGGGGGAGGGTGAGGGCAGTGGAATTATGCAGAATCAAAATTCCCACCGGCTACCGAGATTTGAACTCGTAATATTTTTCCGTCTAACTTCAGTTATCAGGTGGCTCGCCAAATACAGAAGTCGCGAAATTATTTGAATATAATTTTTTTCTTGTTCTTCCCTACCTTGCCTTTTAGGCTATACAGAATTTTCCCTGGCTGGGAATTTAAAATCCCTTGGGGCATGTGGACACAAAGTCGTGCGTTTTTTTAATCTCATAACTTCCATTATCTGGTTGCTGGGCACAGGGGTTAGCCCATTCTTATTGGTTAAGTTGGATTTTTAAAATTCAATATTCTACATCCCCCTTAGAATGGTACCCTATTCACTGCCCTACCTGCAGCACTGAAATACCAATTGGTTACAATAATGAAATGATTTTTTCCGACCATGGAGCAATTTAGTTCTATTTTTTCAGAAATAACTCATTTTATAATCATGTTACTGGCTAAAATCTTTTGTTTAAAAGGTTTGCCTTCCTTGAACCTAAGAATGTAAATCTCTCTCTCCCTATATATTTGTATCTTGTACCTTAAGAAATCATCTAGTATGCTGACGACATTGATACACCAGGAAGATTATTAGAGTCTATTAAGGATGTATTTATAGCACTGAAAAATGCTACAGCTAAAATGGGTCTACTGATAAATTTCAGTAAAACCAAATATCTTAATGTGAATCCCACATTGTTGAGTCAGGTGAGTAATATTGTAATAGAAGGGGAGATAATTGAAAAGGTTGAGTTGATATACCTTGGATCATAGGTGAATGATATTGGGACAGGATCGAAAAGAGAATTGTGGCTGCTAACCAGGGCTATTTTGCACAACATAATCTCCGAAGCAACCTTATACTACTAATAATAATAAAAGACTTAGCGAACCCAAAGGTTCGATGCCGACAACACCAATCGCTTATTACCACCTCCTTCCATCGTTCGCCATCCAAACCCAGTCCCTTCAGATCGGCTTTAATGCAATCTTCCCACCTTTGCTTCGGTCTACCCCTCGGACGTTTACCATTCGGTACAACAAATATTAACCTTTTAGGAATTCTCTCGTTTCTAAGCCCAACAATTTTACAAGCCCATTTGATTCGCCGTGATAAAATTACATCAATTATATTACCGGGATACAGTTCACGCAATTCGATGTTGTGTAACCGTAACCTTATCCTGTCCATGAAACATGGACCTTCATTAAATGTCAAGAAGCTTTGATATTGTATTTTGAAAGAATAGTTCTCAGAAGAATTGATGGACTGTTTCTTCAGAATGGCGTATGGAGAGGAAGGAAAAAAAAAAAAAAAAAAAAACAGAGCTGAAAGCAATATACAAAGAGTTAGATGTTGATTCGATATAATCCAGCACATCAAATTAACAAGGTTGCACTGAGATGAATACATGGGAAAGGAGGAGATACCTGGCAAAGTGTCTCGGAGCAAATATTTGAAGTACGTTGCAAAGGCAGACCATGACTTCGCTGGGAGGAATGTATCACTTCAGACGCCGGAGCCCTCCTTGATATCTCCTCATTTAAAATTGTTTTAAATAATATGCTTCTTTTCAGGATTTCAGCAAACAAACTCATGCCAAAAGTACAAATTTGATGATGTATTTTACAAATTTATATTTAAAAAAAACAACTTAAAATTAACCACTGATACTTTTAAATAATTTATTATAAAATAATTTTGATTCTATAAAGATTTAGAATTTTAGTAAATAAATAATACAGTTACATAATACTCAGTTTAAATCAAATCAATTTATAGAGAAAATTTGTAAATTATTCAATTCTATGCAATATAGTACATATTAGATTATTATTATGATTATATAATACAATTAGCACATCAATACATAAGTAATATAACTTGATAAAAAATAAAATAAACTTTTAAAAATTAACTAACAATTAAAACAGAGTTAAATATTAAAAAAATAACATAATTAAAAATTTACATAAGTTATTAAAAAGATATTAAATTAAATATACACAAGGCAACAATTATAAGGCACATTTATAAAATGGCATGTATTAGCACATATGATAACTTATTAATAATACAAGTTATCGTTATTAATATTATACAAACATAAGTACATGGAAGACAAAGAAACAAGTTGGCAGTGAAGATAGAGGTAAATTTAATAAACCTATTTTGTATTTAACTAGCATTTCTTTGTCTTGACAATTTTTTACTTTTATCGACAGTTTTAGGTGGAGGAGGAGCATTCAAAGACATTTGCCTCTTGTATAAACTGAAACAGATATAAAATTTTAAATATAAATAATTAATATAAATTGGTTATTTGTATATATAAAAAATACTATTCAATATAAGGTATATAATGTCTGTATAATCATAATTTCACATGTTCTAATTTAACTAGGACTTAGTCCGGGATCGGCGTTCAACCAACATTCACATAATATGTGGGAATATTTTTGGATTGCCTACATTTTAGGTTTCATTGGAGATACAAAAAAAAAGAACATACAAAAAATTTATTTTAATTTGTAAAATATATGAAAAACAAAACAAATTAAATTAGAAGACACCAGGAAGAGAGAGAAAAAGCAGGTTGTAGTACGTAGAGAAGGTAAAAAAGGGGGGATTGATTTTAGACCAACAAATAGTAACTTTTTCTTTTTAATCCTGACGAAGACCTACAATGTAGGTCAAAATGTAGGCAATCCAATAAAAATTACTATCACATATCATTAAGTGTTTGTCTTCATCAGACATCACCCCTGACTAACTTCTCCTTAAAATAAATTCTCACAATTTTTTTTTTGTGTTAAAGACAAAAACCTTCTTTTCTTTATTAAATAACAATGGAGACCAATGCAGATTGAACTCCTGAATTTTTTTTAATACTAGAATCTAACACAATATTAAAAATTCTTTTGTCAAATATTTAACACCAACTACACCATTGGGAATGTCTATTTTGGTATACTTACAACTTATAAGTGTCTGATCTGATATATTCCATTATTCTGACGATACCGCCTTGAAGCTGATCGCTGATCGGTGCAACCCAAGGATTCAAATGAAGTTTCACCTCTGACTTATCAGAAGTGAAGTCAAGATTACCTAAAAAGAATTAAATAATATAAGTCTGGAATTTGATAGTAAAAATAGTTTAAAATAGTCATAATGGAATAATATTTTTCAAAGAAAAGATTGATTTTTCTTATTATCTATGATACAATCTCAGATACTTATAATAAAATAATACATAATTAATACCTAATTCTGGAGGAAGGAGCGTGAGGCGATTTGCTTGAAGATGGAGCTCTCTCAGCCTCGTAAGTTCACCTAGTTCCTTCGGTAATTCTGTCAATTCGTTATCCCGAAGAACCAGCTGTAAAATTAATTATTATGATTATAATATTTGTATAACTTTATTATTAAATATACTATTCAATAGATATTGTTTTTGTTTATAGAACATTTTTGTAAAAATATTGAAGGAAGTTAGTCGACTGTTCTACATATCATAGGTGATAAATAGTCAGGACGCAGTCATTTTTATGGTTTTTCAATAGTGCCAACGTTTCAACCCAAACATGTGGGTCATCATTAGCACTGAAAAATTGTTTAATACAATCGGATATATGATATTATAAGACAGAGTTAATAAGGAAAAAATAGTGATGAAGGATACATGAAATAGACAAATTAATATGTAATAAGTTATACAAACTAAAAAATAATGTACATAATCAATTTATAACAAATGTAATATTTACTCTTAATAACCGTGTTTCGAGAAATGAAGGTATTCAAGTACTTTGGTAGGTAAGTAAGAGTCCTCCGCCAACCCTTTTATTTACCTACCAAATTGACAGTACTTGAATACCTTCAGTGCTCGAAACATGGTTAGTAAGAGAAAATATTACATTTGTTATAAATTGTTTATATAGACAAGACTAAGATTTATACTCATGAACATTTCTTAATAATGCTTTTAAGAAAGTTTCCTTAAGAACACCTAACAAAAGATTTTTTTTTAAAGATTTCTTTGATTAATTAATTTAAGAATTCTATTTTGCCAGAAATTTATATTGGTTTAATTATTAAAGCCGTAATTTTGTTTTTCTAAAGAACTTTAAGTTGATTTTGTCCTTCACGATCCTGCTCCTTTATTATTTTAGGAATATTGAGTGATAAACCCTCCCCCCTCTCCCTGATGCATTTCCTCCTCTCTTTGCCAAAACGCTCACACAATATCGCCAGATGTAGTGGGTCCTCGACTTCATCACATATCTCACAATTTGGTGTCGCATTTATTTTTTTCAAGTTTAAGAATTTATTTGTACCATAGTCTGTTTTGGGGACTTTAGAATTAATTCTTTTTGCATTGATAATATCTCGAGCAATTTGTTCTGCACTTTCATTTCTGTGTAGACCCACATGTCCACTTTTAAAGCATTATGAGAGTGTTTATACAAATCATTTTACATTTCTTTTATCTTGACAGAAAAACAAAATAATTTATGATTTTGTTTTATAGTGTTAGAAGGAAAAAATTCAAATGAAACCGGAAACATTTGAGGATCTGAAAATAAAAACGGTTCTAATACAATCCAGTATTTCACTATGTTGATTTGTATTGAAGAAAAATATTTACAAAAATTAAGATATGATAAAAAATATAAAATATGATTCACATACAATTTGTAGATTTTTTAACTGCCCGATTTCAGGAGAAAGTATTTCGAAATCATTATCTCCCAGATACAGTGCTCTCAAGGTTTCTGTAAAAATATAACAATAATGAAATAATTCATCAAACAATTTACAATTATTGTTAGTCAATCCTAATTCATTTCCTCAAAGGGGATGATACATTAGTTAAAGCACTATTTAAATTAAAGTAAAAAAAAAAGAAGTAAAAACCGGTGTATTAAAGGTACCTCTTGAAGGAATGTTCAGATGCCTTCGCAAACCGTTTAAAAAAATCCCCACTATAATTTATTATCAGTGATGCTAAGTTGTAAATAGAGAGAGAGTACAGGTAAAAGATATAGGAAAAAAAAAAAAAAAAAAAAAACATGAAGACAGGGGATTTCTACATATAGTCACCAACATATTTAAGCGACAAATGTAAATATAACTACTTTTTACAAGAAGAAAAACAGAATTTTGTTTTACTTTTAACTTACAGAATAATTTTTTAATCTTTTAATCTTTTTTACTTCTCTGATTCTTAGATTTGTGCAATAAATTATATGCATTGATGTTTAGTGACTGCATGCAATTATATAACATTGAATATTTCAGAATTAGCTATGTTATAATTTATATATTAACTTAAGTCAATTATAGTTACCTAACATAAAAAAATTATTTGGGAGAGCGCCTTCATGTAAATTATTATAAGTGAGATCGAGAACTTCGAGAGCTGGGCATGCACCAAAACCTCTTGGTAGAGAATTAAGTCGATTCATACTGAAAAATAAGAAATAAAATTCTACACTGAGTATGTTCTACAATTTCCTCGTTCTATTCAAGTTTACTATTTTATATAATCCTGCGTTGTTTGTACTCTTATATGATAAAAAAAAAAGTGTTGTTACTACTGGTGAGTGATCATTGCTCATATAAGTATGTAAACATACCCAAGATTTAAAATCCTCAATTTGGGCATGGAAGATATCGACATAGGTAATTCTTCTAAGTAATTGTTAAAAAGATTCAAAATTTCCAAGTTCACCAAGTTAGCTAAACCTCCAGGAACATCTGAAAATAAAAATTACATTATCACAAATAATATGAAATAATAATTAAAATAAGTTTGTCCCAATATAATGTTAGGGAGAAAAAAACAAAACTGAATTGATGTTAGTAGAAACTTACTGCGTATTTTATTGTGGCTAAGAGTCAGCCTTGTAATATTTTTCATATTGACTGAAAAAAAAAAAAAAAAATTAAAAAATAAATAAATAATAATAATAATGTACAACTAGTTAGTCCACCTAAATAATGCACATAGTATATCAGTGACCTGCTGGTAATATAAAATAGAAATGAGTAAATGCAATAATTTTTTTTCAGTCGATTACGAATGTCCATTATTGAAAATAATAAACTAAAACATTCATACAAACTTCAATAGTGTTCTAATTTATTTATATTTTGAAGGAACTTTTTTAATTATGCATACATTTTTCAGCATTAGTGAAGAAGGTAATGTTCTATTCTATATGATGGTTCAATTATTGGTTTTGAAAAAGATTTAAAGGTGCGTTTAGAGATTTCATAAACTATCAGAAACACAATTATCAAACTTAATTAATAGCGACATTAGTGCTAAGCAAAACTTGTTTTTTATTTATCTTATTACAGACAGAAGATAGAAAACATCAAAAACACTAGCATAGGGAAACAACAATTTAAATATTTAGTTGTCCCATAGTTTGTGAAATGTCTAAACACAACTTAAGAAAAGATGGGTTACCAAAAATAACTAGAAAAAAAAAGATGTATAAATTTTTATATAAAATCAATTGAAGCGAAGTTGGGAGGATAGTATTAAGCTGATCTTGATTTGGTTTGGACAGGGGTCAACGGATGGAAGACAGAGAATAGCGGTATTGGCATTGAACATTCAAGTTTGCTAAGCCATTATTACTATTTATGGTCAACTATCATTATATGGCACAATTAATATCATAATGAATATTATGATAGCAATTTTTTTCCTTAAAAGTAAATATATCAATGATCATAAATGGCATAATCATAATCAGTGATTTTGATTACATGATTACGATTGTAATCAGGCAATCTTGTCACACTTTTACTATATTTATAGTGCTATTGTATCAAGTATAAAATTGGAGTGAGTTAAGTTTCATTTTCAGTTATAAACATTGACTCCGATTTTGCCCATTTCTGTCAAAGATACATAACTACCCACTTCTTTGAAGAGAAACTAAACCCATTTGTATAGCAATATTAATTATTTTTAATTTATATATGTTTCCAAAAAAATTCACTAAATACAAATACTTAAAATTTATTATAGGTAATAATAAACATAAAATTATACTTTTGGATAAGATAAACAAGATCCATAGCCATAGCAAGGATCTTTTTTGATTCAATCTCAACTGTTAGGAAGAAATAGTTTGGTCATGTCGCATGCATGGCAAAAGAATCAATCTGCAACCAGCTTAAGGAAGATTTAGGTGGATAACATTGTTCAGAGGTGGCTGAATGAGCTGAAGAGAGTGGACTACGGCAAGTAAAAAGGCTCAGATTCATTAAGACAGATAAAATACTTTTAAATTTAACAGGAAAATTATCTGATTCCATGTTTAATCGATAGAGTTAGAGGACATAAAACATCCATAGTCATCAACATGAAACAATGAATGAAAAACAATACTGTTTAGTAAACATAAGACAAAAAGTAATGTGTTATTAGATATATTTCAAGAAAAAATCTTAAATTTGATAAGGATGATGGAAATTTAAAACAAATTAAATTAATGCTCTGTATTATCACAGAAGGGTGTGGTCAAACATGTTATCATAGAAATTTGAAGGCATTTATATTTTATGTAAAAATAAATAATTATAAAATTTGTGGTGAACATAAAACAAATTAAGCAGGGGCCTAAAGTAAATTACCCACAAAAATATTTTATTTACAAGATAAATAAAAATTTAATAAAGTACTAGACAGAATTATTTCAACTGCATTAAATAAAAATAAAAATAGGAATTGACAGCTAAAATATTTAAATTCAAAATACACAACTTTCAAATGTAAACAGTTGTGTGAATCATATTTAGAGGTTACAACTCCCACCTTTCATTTCTTTACCATATTAGGAAATCGCAAGCAGTCTGTTCACATTTACTTACATAGCCCGGGCAATTCTTCAAAAGTCACAATTCCTTTATCACAGAGATCAAGTTCTGGGTTCTGAATTTCACGGGCATCGTCTAAAACCTTCTTCGCCTTAGACATCTTCGGGGTTGTTGGTAAACAAGATACTGGTGCTTTATCCATCGTTGACGGTTATCAGTAGCTGGTGCCTTACTGATTAAAATTAATTCACAAAAAAATATTCAAGCTGATTTGTTAAGAAAATGTCTATGTCTGGCTTTTTCAAAGGATTACAAAAATAAAATTATATAATGTTATATCATTATAGAAAAATATAGAAAGTTCTTATAATCTCCTTCATATTCAGATTGGAATAAACAGGAGGGGGCCCTAAGCATTCAAAATTCCGGGCTACAGCTTATAGAAATTTTTACAACTTTTTTTATTATTTTAAATTTCCAAAATGTTTATGTTAAAATACTTGAAGACTCAAATCAAAGGTTTTATAATGCAATGTAAAGATATTTGGCAACAGTTCTTAGATTACGTATAAACGGACACTCTTTTACCCGATTCCTCTTGACTTTCAGCTTTCGCTATGAGTCATCTAGCAGCTCAGTAAATGTCTGATTTCAGTGAATTCGATGTTTGTATATCAGACAAACCAGGAGATGATTCAAGGTCCGTCGTATACCAATAGTTGTACCGTTAGGGGATTCCTCAACACCTATTTTATGCATTTTTTTAAAAGTAATCAACCTGAATTCTATAACTGCTTCTTTTCGTTGTTTATTTATTCGTATGCGTCATTATTTCTCAAATATTAAGGCTTATTGTTTACCGGATGCAGTATTTGTCTTTTCCTCAATCAGTTTCTCTTGTTGGGATTTCTCTATTTCATTTCTTTCTCGATGGCATGATAATCTTATACTTCGTCTGAAATTTTGCTGTTCCCTCATTCCCTATGATGTCCAACATGTCATTTCCGTGAATCCATACTTTTAACAATGAAAACAAAGAAACTATAAGTAGAAATTTATACAATTCAACACATTTCCACTTCGAATTATAAAAATTCCTAACTGATAGTTATACCTGAATATTTATCAAGTAAGAACAGGGAATACCTAGTTCTGTCATAGATACTGAACTTTGTTAACATCTTTCGGTGTTATTTAGATAATCCTTATCTCTATCAAGTTATTTTCTTTAAGTGTTAGGATAATAATCCCAATTAGTTAGTATTTTTCTTTAGCTCAGTCAACATGGAGTGGGATAATGGGAGAAAGAAGACCGAATAGCTGTGATCGTCTTACACAAAGTTGGACAATGTAGGTCCGAGATTTTCAACACTTTGAAACCTTTGGGTATCAGCCGTATGTTCGTGTACCGCACTATAGATATAGTGAGATCCTATCTGTATATGACAGTCCTCGACCGAGCATCCCCACACTGTGAGAACGGCAAATGCAGTGGCTGTTCGAACCAGAAGAAATCCTACGAGAACACAATCATGCTCGGAAATGGAATCTGTCAGTCATGTCGTATAATAAAAAGTGATCTTAGGATGGGCGCATTTCGAAGAATGACATGACAAAGGTTAACCATTTCCCTATAAAAATTAGAATGGGTAGATGCAAAGTGCTCCTTGGCCGTTACACCAATGGCCTTCATCGAAAGATTTTGTTTAGCGATGAGAAAATGTTTACAGTTGAAGAAAAATTTAATCGCCAAAATGATCGTGTGAACGCACACAGCTCTAAAGAAGCCTAGGAAGTCCATTGGAAGAGGTCATCACCCTTCCTCAATGATGGTTTGGTGGGGAGTTTGCTTTGATAACACCACAAAGCTCCATTTTTGTGAAAAAGGAGTTAAAATAGCCGCTAGAAACTACCAGGACGATGTTTTGGAACCTGTTGTCAAACCTCTAAATGATATTCTTTAAGCCACTGGTTCGAGTATTCCTTACTTCATTTTTTGAAATCTGGAAGACACACAATGATAAAAAAAAAACAAGCCTGCGACTCTCACCCCATGTTTTTTGTTTTCCAAAGGATTTGAAGAGATTCCTATTGGCTATGTTTTCAAATATCAATGTGATGAGCCGATTTTGATACGAAAGTAAGTGTAGAAGAAATGTGTACATTTCTCTGACTACATTCTCTCCGGGAACGGCTATCGACTTGAGCCTTTGGTTCTCGTCGTCCCTCATCGACCATGGACGGCACAGGCGCCCTCCTGTGTTATTAGAGGTTGATGTCAAGCCGTTGCACTAGCGGATCCAAGATTTAATTTGGGGGGCTTCAGCCTGAAAGCTTTTTTTTTTTCATATATATAACGATAATAAATTTGAAAAAAATGAAAAGAAAAGGATAGAAAAAACTAGCTACCTATACATGATGTTCAAGTGATTCTTGAAGTCCTATTAAATGTAATTACATGAACAATAATACTTTAAGAGATAGTTTTTAATATTTTTTTCTATAAAACATGGTTATATTTTACCATTTTGGGAGGCTTCAGCCCGAAAGCCTTCCCCGTAGATACGCCTATGAGCCGTAGCGATAGTTCATTTGTGCATGCGACCAATCACGCTTTGAAGTCAGGTTGAAAAATTTTCATTAGATCGAATTGGTACTACAGGGTGTCGCAGGGGTCCTGGCGGTACTAAGGTTAGACGACAAGAGTACTTGGCTGTGGCTGACGTAGTGGTCGTGTTTGCGACTGCTTGCTGTATGGCACATGTTGTGACTGAGGTCCCACTAGCCATGCGGTTTCATTGTGTAGATCAGTCGAAAGCTGGCTTAGTTAGCATACTTCTCTCCTCGGATGCCCGTTGATCTTGTATCTTTTTGTCCTCTGTCTGGAGAGTGAAGGGAGGTTGGGACCTCTGGGTTAGGTATGATCCTCTTGAGATACTGGCACTGTGTTGCATAAGCCTCCAACTACATTCACAAATGTATAATTGTATACAACAGGCTTCACAAAATGAACAATGCATTTTTCCCCCAAAGTCAGTTCACCTTATATTAATAAAAATATTTACCTTTTGTATTTATTCAATAAATATTAATTACCTGGAAACGATTATGTTCATCAAAATACATAGCTAACAAATCCATTTGCTGTCACCATAATAGTCCAAGAGATGGGTCAAAATTTTATAATGCTCATCCATCCTCACCATTCAATTTCCACTAGTATGCCAACTCAAATCTGTTTCATAATGGCGCCCATTGAAAGAGGGAACCAAATACATAAAAAATAAATTATTAGAAGCTGATTTGTAACCCCCAGATGACTTGTTTGTTACCTCCTTGATGCAACTTTTTATACTGACGTTGGCATTTTATCTTTTTCAATCACAGTAACAAAAACAATAAATGGTATGTATATGTGAATGACAGTTTCCAGGGAACTACTGAACATATAGGAGATTTATATTGAATGTAGAAAATGGTTTTTGGAATGAGGGGAAGGGTAGGTTTGGTCTCATGATGTCTTTGAACAAATCATCTTCAAATTTGCAATTTTTATGTATTTAATTCATCCTTTCGATGGGGACCATTTTCAAAGGCCCCACTTTGAGTAGTCAGGCTAATGGAAATTAAATGCTGAAGGTAATAATAATAATGCTTTATTTATTCTGGGACGAGTCCCTTTAGAATAATACAGAGAGACAAAAATATGGGCTAAGGAGCCTCAGAGATACATAAACAAGATTATAGTTTGACTAAACAGTCAAAATAACAAAAAATATTAAAAGAAATAATAAGTTACTTTCTAATTTAAATCAGTTAATAATAAAAAATTGAAAATAAACATGAAGTAAAAATAATAAAAAAACGACCTAATAATTTGCATACATATTTGCAGTAGTAGCTATTTACAATTTTATGAGGACTGGATGGATAAGAAATGATTAAACAGTCGGGATTACAGGTAGGGAGGGTTTTGGATTGACGAATGTGGGGAGGGATGGAGTTCCATAGGGAAGAGGATCGGATAATAAAAGATTTACCTTATAATGATGTAGGACTAAAAGTTTTCATCAAATACTCTTGGGTTACAATTAGTAAAAAGCCTTGATTGTGGGAATGCTATTCCACAGAGAATGATTTCTCACATAATATATTTTTTTTTTTTGGTTTATTTTTTAAATCAATATTTAAAATATTATTCCCAAGAAAATCAATGAGCCCAAAAGCATTTAATTTTTCTAGTACAATTTAAAAAAGGCTAAACTATATTGGTTACTAAGATAACCAATATAGCTTGGTTCATCTCCAAAAATAAGTTAAAGGTAGCCAGCAGAATATTTCAACAGGAATTACCAGCTGAAAGCGTTCAGGCAACATAAATATATATTTTTTAAACTTAAGTATACCTACTTGTTTCCAACTGGAACCCCTGATTTAAAATTCAACAGGAAAAATAATCAACTCACTCAGAAGAAGCTATTTAATGGGAAAAATATATTTAAAATAACAAAATTATGTTAGACTAATGTATTTTTGTATTAGTTGAATTTGAAACTTCAGCCAAAATTATGGCTCATTGAATGTTTTACTTCATTTTTAAACTTAACATTAAATATCTCGTCGCTCAGTACTCGAGCGCAAGCGTTATCTATATCGTAAACAATTAAAAAATGTAAAATTAATTTTATTTGGTTCATAGCATAATGGTTTGTTGGAACAAAACTGAATAAATTAATGGAATGTTGAGTATATGTGCCTATGTAGCATATACACATCACATATTTACAAGATATTTAAATGCTTATATTTATAAATTAAACATTATCACAGAGGCCAGCATTTATGTTCATTCGCTATTTTGATTAAAATAAACACCATGAACGTATTTTACAAATAGATACATTTATTTATAGCTTTAAGCAAAGCACTTGAATCATAAATCATAGTAGATAACTTTTATCCCTATGCTTTAAGTATCGTGCATTGACCATTACAAAAATAAATAAATAAATAAAATAAAAATGTGAGAATAAACTAGTAACCATAAAAATAAAAATCATTATTTTTTCTACAATGAATTTCTTCTAAAATTTAAAAATTAACCCTATTATGTGCAAGGTTAGTATATAAGACAAAGTTATTGTAATAATATTAAGATATGATAAAACTAAAAAATAACAATTGCTGTCAGGATTGATCTGAACAACACATTAACTCTTTCTCTTATTCGGCATTCTGTTAACAGTTGATTCAAAGAGA